TTGTCTTGTGATGAATTATTTAAAGAAATGAAAGAAGTAAAAAAAGAACGAATGAACCGTCTCTTTTTTTTTTGTTTTTATCTTTGTAGATTTTGAATTTATAAAAATTTTATATTCGGCATTTTTAAATGGGTCAGACTTGTATATAACGAGAATGGCTATTCAATAAATTATTGAAATGTTCGAATTCTATAATTTCGTACTATATATATATATATAAAAAAAATAGAGTGTGAATTGCACGAGAGGAGTTTATTAATTAAATATGCCTATAATGAGAAGTGAATTTGATTGAGAATTTCAGTATATATAATATTGTAAAAGGTCCCTCAGGTCGCGTGCGCGTGCGAGATTTATTAAATTTTACAAAAGCATCTCTTATATTATGTAAAAGTAGATTTTATAGATTGAAATGGAGTTTACAATTTTCTTTTCTTTTTTCACAGCTACTCAGCATTTGAAACTTTTAATAAGTTCTTTTAATGTAGATCGTATGCTATAAAAAAGTTTCTAAAACGTTTTAGCTAACAGATCCAATAATGTATATATAAATATATTGAAATGGCATTTTCTTTTACGTGCGAAATTCTGTTTTTAAAATTTAAAAATTTTATTTCAAAATTTCCAAAAATAAAAATTTTATTTATTTATTTTTATATATATTTATTTATTTATATTTTTAATTATTAATATATTTTTGTTTTAATTTTTATTATTATTTTTTTTATATTTAATTTAATGTTTGTGATTTTTATTTTTATTAATTGTTCAATTTTTTGTTTGATTTTTCAAAATTGTAATCGTGTAATCGAATTTTTTTTTATATTCATATTTACATTAGGCCAAATTTTTTATTAAGTCGAATTTTTTTATTTAATACAATTTCCATTTAACCGAATTTCTATATTTTTGATCAGGCAAAATTTCAAAAATTTGCAAAAACATAAATTAAAAAAAAAAATTCGGAAAGAAAATTCGGTAAAATAAATTTTCGGACAATTAAAAAAATTCGGTCTGACCGAAAACAAATATCACATAACAGAAACTGTAATTTTTTACAATGGGGTAAAATTTGATTTTATGGAATTTTTTTTTTAATTATCGGCTTATTGTTTAAATTTATATCTTTTTTATTTTTATAATCGGAATTGATATTATTTCTTCTTAATTTAAATTGTATATAGAAATGACATTTTGCTCTTAACCCCGTAACCTATACAGGCAAATATTATATATATTTTACCATGGAGTATGCGAAGGTCAACTGTCACTAATTTAATGAGTCGAGAAAGCAATTGAAATGGAATGCTTCATATATATATATATAATATACTCATATTTAATGATTCCCATCGAAATTTTAACAGGAAATGAAAAATTAATTAGAAATTACTAATCCAGGTCAATCACTCTAAATTATAATTGACGAAGGAACGATATAATATTTATTATTTGCTTTTAATTAACTTCCTTTTAAATCCCCCTCATAATTAAAAGTTTTAATTTCAAAATTTAATCCTGATTAGTATGCAAAAGTTTTTTTTTATTGTAAGGACTCTTAATTTGTTGTAAATTACTTTTAACTTTTTAAAATTAATTTTGAAATTCCATTTATAACACGAATAAATTATTTATCGAAACGATCGAAACACATTTATTTATTTATTCGAAATTATCGAAATTCATTTATAAATTTTATTAATTCAAAATAAAAAAAGTAAAACAAAATAAAAATAAATAAAATTAAAAAAAAGGAAAAAATAATTTAGAAAAAAATTAAAATATTTAAATTAATAAAAAAGAAAAATATAAAAGTTCATTTTTTTCATGGAAAATGAATATTTTTTTTTTTAATAATATAAATAGAAAAATATTATTAAGAAATTAAAGTTAATATTTATTTCATATAAAAGGGTTAACTAACAAGTGTAAACACATAGTTTCCTTTGAGCAAATCAAACAAACCATTTGCATGCTAATTACCGTACGTGTTAATTAAGATTCGTCGCCCAAAATTATATACGTTTTCGTTATAGAGGAATAATTTTTTTTTTAATTTAAAATAGAACAACTAGGATTTTATATTTTTATTATATTACATATTAATCTAAAAATAATAAAAGATTCATAACTCTAAAATTTAATATAGTTGAACATTTTTTATTTTTTCTAAATAATAAAGAAAAAAGTTATAAAAGTATACTTTTTTTTCTCTCTCGCTAATGTTGAGCATTTTTCCAAATATTAACTTTATTTAATAGCAAAACATCAAAATAAAACTTTTTATTATTACCAACATTTCCATAAGAATAAAAAAAGCCGTTTTATTTATTCTATATATATATATATATATATATATATATATATATATATATATATATATATATATATGTTTTGATGGAGAGGAAATAATAAGATCGGGAAAAAGATAAAATAAAAATGATTCGTGTACATTTCTTCTTCTATCGTTCGAGGGTGAGAAATCAAGATTTATAATATATATATATATATATATATTTCGGAGATTTCAGGAAATAAACTATCTTCGAAAAAGGTAGAAATGGATGAAACATAAGTGGGATCATAAATCTTTCCGGCTTTTCAAAATATAAGCGACCCAATTCTTTCATAAAGTTAAAGAGAAGAGGATTTAAAAACATGTACAGAAAAAAAATAATGAAAAAAAAACAACAAAACCACAAACACTATTTTCCATAATTTATTTTTTTTTTTTATTTTATCCAAAATTACAATTTTTTCCAAATTTTCACATTTTCGAAATTTCATACTTAAATTATTATTTTTTTTTTTTTTTACAAATTTCCATCATTTTTTAAAAATTAATTTTTTTTTAAATTTTTATTTGTAAAATTTTATTTACTTGAATTTTATGTATTTTTGAATTTATTTTTTTTATGTAGGTAATAAATTTTATTTTTCTAAAATTTTTTTTTGAATATTTCTTATTTATAGCTAAATTATATTTATTTGTTTAAAATTGTATTTACTTAAAATTTTATTTTATACAAAAATTTCATTTTTCCGAATTTTTATTTATTCAAAAATATATTCGTCCGAACTTCCATTTGTAGAACATTTTTCACTTATCTGCAAAATATTATTCGTTAAAAATTGGAAATTGGAACAAATTAAATTTTTTATACTAATGACAATATTTTAAAAATAAATAAAAATAAATAACAACAACAATAATAATAATAATAATAATAATAATAATAATAATAATAATAATAATAAAATAAATGAATTAAATAATATGAAAATGTATAAAAATGAAACTTTAAGCTAATGGAAATTATAGAAAAAAATAAAAATTCAAAGACATGAAATTTTATTATTTTAATTTTTAAAAATAGAATTTTGGACAAATTGAAATTATAGGTCAAATCTGAAATTTTTCATACAAAATGTATTTTTTGGTAAATGAAATTGCCATTCTGGATTGTAGAAAATTTTAGGACAAAAATAAATTTGTTCGAATAGAATTTCAGGTAAATGAAAATTTCGATAAATAGAAATTCGGTCAAATATATTAAATTTTAGACAAAATAAAATTTTTTATTAATAAAATTTAGTACAAAAATAAATTAATTTATATAAATTTTTTTTTTAAATAAAAATTTGGTTAAATTTATTAAATTTTAGACAGAAAATATTTTTGGGTATAAATGAAATTTTGGAATAAAAAAAATTTACTACAAAAAAGAAATTTTGTTTGAATATAATTTTTGCATCAAATGAAAATTTGATCAAATATATTAAATTTTAGACCAAATATAAAAAATATTTACAAAATATATTTTTGGATAAATAAAATTTTTGATTAATAAAATTTAGGACAAAAAAAATTTCTTTCGAATAGAATTTTACTCGGATAAAATTTCGGATTAATGAAAATGTAGATATAAATAAAAATTCGATTAAAAATATATTATACTTTTAGATAAAATATAAAATATACAAAATATATTTTTGGGTACCAAATTTGGAATTAATAAAATTTGTACAACAAGAATTTCGTTCGAATAGAATTTTTACAAATAGAAATTTAGATAAATATAGAAATTCGGTCAAATATATTAAATTTTAGGTAAAATGTATTTTTGCGTATAAATAAAATTTTGGATTATTAAAATCTACAACAAAAAAGGAATTTCATTCGAATAGAATTTTCTGAAAATAAAAATCTATATATAAATAGAAATTCGACTAAATAAATTTTATGAAAAATAAATTTTTGGTTGTAAAAATAATTATGTTAAATAAAATAGAAATTCAGATGACACACTGAAAATTCGTACAGATGAATAAAATTTATATAAATTTAGGTCAAATTGAGAAATAAAAAATACTACATATATAAATCGTCGCAAGTGAAAAGTACAATAAAAAAATTCTTTATGAGATAAAATTTTTCAAACTGTTTAGGGGATTTTAAAAAGTGTTTTTGACCCGCAAGATAGCTGAACCCAATTTTCGGGAGTATTTGCTCATCCGCTGCCTCTGTTTTGAGAGGGATTGCCTTGCGCTACAACCTTTGACATTTTAAGAGGACGGGTCGAAGTCTCTGAGTCTGGATATATACTCCATTTTAACCAACTCTCATTCTATCTCTCTCTTCTGCCTTTTAAAATACATATGAGCACTCTATTACGAAAACTTTACTCAAAAATGAAAAGATCAAATATCTGGTTCAACTCGCTCAATGGACTCGTGTGTCCTTTGAAAGCCCAGAAACGTGAATCCAAAATAAACAACCTTTAACATTTATTCTAAAGCCAAAGATCAGGATGTTATGCGCGTTTCAAAAGGATGACAAAACATATATGGGAAAAATTCTTTTTCTGTAAATTTTATCAAATCTGTAGGTTTAAAAACTTTTATTAATATCTATAGATTGAATGGGGAATAAAACACTTTTTTCAAAAAAAAGAAGATCGCAATGATAACAAAAGACATCTACTTTGGAATCCAACCTCTAAATCATTTTGAGTTATATTTTTGGGAGGAGAAAAATTTATAGCAATTAAGGAAAAAAAAAATATGTTTGAAAACTAAATTTAAAAAATGTTGACACTCTCGAAACCGAGGCAATTAATTAATTTTGTCCGATTTATGACTTGTGGTAAAGGAAATAATTCTGATAATAAAGATTCATGTGAGGAAATTTCCGAAACAGAAACCGAGCAGGAATCATGTGATAAAAAAGAAAATGTTTGCGATAATAATTACAAAGAGGAAGATGAAGATTGGAAAACAAAATTTTGTACAACTCCAAAAAAATGTTCACAATTTCCAATACCTGAAATTGATTTAAGCGATCCTTGTGGTAAACAATGTAGACCACCTCCACCACCATCACCACCAGAACCCAAGGAATCTTGTTTCTGTTATGATGATATTGAATTATGTCCCCCAACTGAAGGTATTTTGGTCAAATAATGTAATTGGATTTGCGGAAATTGGATTTACATTCCTAACTTTTTTTTTTTGATTTCTTTCTTCCTCTGTCATGCGTATTTATTATTTTTAGATAATTTTTAAATAAAAGATGAAATAGTTAACATTTCAAATATGTTACCTCTAATTTTGCAATTCGAATCAAAAATAATTAAGTCGAAAAAATTATCTCATAAATTAATCTTAACGAAATGACCCCATTCTAAAATTTCTTCTATTCAAATGCTATTTTTAAAAACTTATAATACTTTTTTAATTAGGAATATCATCTTTCTAGTTCATAAAATATCGCGATATTATTCATTGAATTTTTCTTTTTTTTCATAATACTGATTGCAGTGAATAAGGTATCGATACATTTCAGAAACTTCCAACTTTTAAAATTTATCTCTTTTCATCGAGAGAGAAAGAGAGATAAAAGAAATAAACTAGACCACAAAAATCAACGTGATTTTTCCGGATAAATTTATAAATGAAATTTTTCTCCTACAATCAGCAATATAATTTGACACGGGATTTAAAAAAGTTTTTATATCAGAGTTCATTTTTTCTCTTCAAGTTTTTTCTCTTTTATCATATAGTTTATTAATTAACGGATTGGATAAAAAAAATCTTTAATAATTAAAAGATGAGAAAAGAGAAAAACTTTTTTTTAAAGCATCAAATATTTTGTATTTTTTTTTTGTATATAATTTAAATTCTAAAAAAAACCAGTTTTATTATCAAAAGAAAATATTTTTGTTAGAAATTAGAAGACGATATAATATGTGGAGATTAGCAAGTTTTGCTGTATTTCCAATAATTGGTTTGGCATTATCATTAATATTACCGGCTCATCGAAAACATCAGGAGGAAATAGAGGAGAGAATGAGAAATTCAGAGTTTATTCCTTATCCATATATGCATCGTATAACAAAAGTTAGAATATACAAAAATTTCTCAGAATTTTGTAATTTAATTTTTCAAATTCTTTTCATTTTTGAAACGTTGCGTTTTTCATTAATAATTTATTTTCTAAAAAAAAACAATATAATTTAGAATTTTTAATAAATATTTGTCTCAATAGCCTTGGTGGTGGGGAGATGGACATCATGGTTTATTTTTTAATCCAAAAGTAAATAAAGTTCCACCCGAATTCGATCAGACAATTTCCAAAGAGGAGAATAAAAATGATAGTAAATGTTCAGATACAAATGAAAATGATTATGCAGATGAAGATGATAATTACAATGAAAATTATAATGATAATAGTTATGGACAAGAAACACAATTTAGAAATGGATATCCCTATGGAAATGGAAGTAGAAATGGCAAAAATAATAGAAGAAGAGAAAATTGAAAACGAATTTTATAAATTTGACGGCAAATAGCATGATTTTTGATCGAAAAAAAATTTACATACTAGTATCAATTTTAGGTTCGAAATAACATTTTTTAAATTAAAAAGAATGTATTTACTAATACTAATTTTCATTACTATATTATTATTAGTTAATAAAACTATTTTCCTAGTCAAGAAGCATCGGATTCACATGAAAGTCACTATTCAGGAATTCTTAATGTCGCTGATTACGGATCTATCATTAAATTTGGATTCGGTGACCTCTGTTTAACAAATTTCATGTGAATCTGATGAATTTAAAAAAAAATCCTTTGCAATATTCTCCCTGACATTTTGAATTCTAAACTGACTTCAAGTTTGTAATTAGCGAACCTATAAACCCCCCCAAGTAACAAGTTGCATTTGAATCCGATACCCAGTAGTACTCTCTAAATATGAATCAGTGAAAAAGTCACTGGTCTCAAATCAGTCGCTAAATTCTAGCTATTTGAATCAGTTACATTTCATTTTCATTCATTTCAGTCAAAGTAATTGATTCTCCAGTGAAATGTCACTAACTGTCAGTGAAAACCACTGATTCAAATAGCTAGAATTTAGCGACTGATTTGAGACCAGTGACTTTTTCACTGATTCATATTTAAAGAGTAGAAAATCGGATCCGAAACCAACTAAGTACTGAACCAGCACTGCTGTCCAAACTAAAGACCTGGTAAGTCGCTTTTCCGTAAGTTTGAAAGTCGATAGACCTGATCAATCAACTTTCACCCTTGCGGAAAAGCGACTTACTAGGTTTTTACTTTGGACCTAGCAGAACAGTAGTTTGATATCCAAATCGGTACGAACCGCCTGTACTGCATTAGGCTTTGAGTACAACCAGCGCTGATCCTAGCAGATTGTACCTTTAGCTTATTTTTGCAAAATCCCCAACATTTTCAGGATTTCTTCTGCCTGAATTAAGGTATTCAAGTCGCGAATGTAAAGAGTTATACTTTACAATCCACTGATTGCACCTTATCTGTAATTCGAACGTGTTGGTTCTTTAATTGTATTCTTTGTCGACTTTTATAAACATAATAAATACTTTGTCAAAAATAACAAGAGGATATACTTTATCAATTTTTTAATAATTTTCAATGCAGAACATATACTCATACAACACACTATAAAAATACACAAAATCAATACATGATCAATGGCGATCAGTTCAAGAAAGATTTCTTTCCACGCGGTGGAAATATTCTATGGTAATACTTTCGTAATTTGATGTCTTATCATCCTTCATCTATAGAAGTACTGCTTTCTTCTTAAAACTCCATAGCCTGGATCTGTTATTTTTCGTTTTGCGATTCACTTCGGCATAGCCAGAATGCAATCGAGAAGCTGATCTCTGTATTGAGGGCCTCTTAGTGTTTCTTCTGATAAAGAGTTTAAAGTTTCTCAACCCGTCTTTTATTGTTCGGTTCTGGTTCTTCTATAGAGTTTTCAGAATCTTTTGAACCACCTCTTTGATTTTTCCTAACATTGCTACCTTTTTGACTCTCAATTTCGCGTAGTTTTCGGGCTCTTTGTTAATGAATTCTGTGTCCAGCTCTGATCCCACTGCTACCACTCAGCACGTGCGCTTCTCCTTCCACGATGATCTGTATTGTAAATAGTTAATTGCTCCCACAATCTGTATACCGAATTTATAGTTCTAGAGGAAATATTCTGGCAAAATCGAGGCAAAATTATACATAGAAAAATTTCATTCTGGTACGACGAATACGGACATAAAAGTAAGAAACTAATTCTACTAGTGATTACTATTCCTGCTAGTACCAATAATACAGAATTAGTGTTTTAGCTATATATTACGTTGATATTCCACAAAACTTTACATGTATCAAACGTTCACCAATATTCAGCACTCTATGATTGAAACTAGCTGTAATTTCTAACCCAAAACTTTTATATCCTTATTCTAGATATACCATTTTTTCATGGTGAAATTTCTATTTCTGACTTCCTCGCATAGAATAGTGTTCATGAATTTAGTTATTCTGTTCTTGCTGTTTGTCCCGTAACAAGAGACACAATCGAGCATTAATAGAGTACTCTACCATCTTGTTAGGATAGACTAACCACTTCCGTTAGTTACATGGACGTTATAGCGCTACTGCAAGAGCATCGATTATCATTTCATTACACTATATCATCAGAAATTGTTGGTTCAGCCAGAGCGAGCACTATCCAAAAACAAACATGTCTTTCATCAATATGTTTAACATAAGACAATAAAGTAGAAAGCTAAAATTAAAATCATTCAAAAGTTTAAAAAATTCTGCTTCTACTCTCTAAATGTACCAGCGAAATTTCGCTGATTCAAATTTAGTGAGTATTATAAAGTATTTATAAATATAAATGATATAAATTAATATTTTTCAATTTGATTAAATAATATATTCTATATTTCTTTTTTGATATGAACTGCGTGGAAATTGATTACAAATTCCAAATATGGAAAGCACAATTATCATCAATATTTATTGCACAACAATGCATTGAAATATATATATAAGTCGATTCTTCTGCTGAGACAAAATCTAATACAAAAGCGGATGCAGTGCCTTCTGCATTTTAATTAAATCAGATTAATGTGTCCTGAGATAGTCCACGAATAAAGAATGAAGACTAATTCCCTCAGGAAGAATTTAATTTTCTTGATAATAAACCTTCCACAAGAATTTAATGTCGATCAGTCGGGAAAATTACCTTCTTTATTTATATAGATTTTAATTCGTCTTTCCTTATGTATGAAATTAAGAAAAATGAAATCTATTTCCTTTCAAGGGAATTTTTATTTTTATAAGAATTTGGAATCCAAATTTTGGAAATATTTTTTTCTGAGAAGTTTCTCCAATTGTTGAGTTCTTCCGTCAGATCATTATAAGCACAGCAATAGTCAAAACGAGGTAATATCAAAGAAGACACAAGATGGGTTTTCAATTTAATGTTTCTCCCAAAAAAAGTTGGATTAAAAATAACTTCCAAGTTTTTATGTCATCTCAAATTTCTTAAATTTTGAACTAATAAAGGTAAAAACGAATATTATTCTAGTTTTCCAAATGTCAAATATATATACATAACATATATATGTAAATATTGTTTTCGTTGAAAAGAGATTGTGATGATGGAAAAAAATATATAGGATAAAAGAGGATTTTCGTGTTTGTCCGTATAGAGTAATAATGGATGCATATCTTCAGAGATGCAGACAAGGTCAAATGAAATACATAAGATGCCCTTACGTATATATAAGGTTCTCACTTATCGAATGGAATCTAGGTGATTTCCACCCACTCTTTATATTCCCTTTGATGAAAATACTGGAATCACCCTCACCTTGTAGAATTGATGGGCTTGAATTAAATTTACTGCCATAATACATTCTCGCCTGTCGTGTGCACGACACACAAACTCTCTCTCTGTGAATGCAACAGGTCACGTATATATTGAAAGGAAAGGGTTTTTAGTCAACTACCCCTTTACAATCGATTATTATCTGATCCACTTTTGCATAAGCAACCTCGTCCTTTTTCAAGCAGGAAAATTTTCTTCTTCCTATGCTTGCAGTTCTCATCCTTTTCTCGTATTTTACTCTACTTAGTAGAATTAGATTTTTTAAAAGATATATATAGTTTAAACTTTATTAATTATAACTTTTCTCGTTCTGGTTGACTGGTTTTCCATTAAGGGCACACCTTTCGAGAGATGAAATTTTCTCTGATTAATGGTATTAAATCTCTACAATGTTCGAGGCTGTTTCTCTGTTACACAAAATAATATATATTCTCGATTGTATAAATATATATGCACACAGTAAATATTAAAGAGACATTTCGTTAAATGAAATTTCTATAATGAAAATTCGGTGAAGTGGAAAAGCTGTGCTATATATATATATATATAAAATTACATTAGTTTAATAAAAATTTGAATATAACTTTTAATTTACCACAAAAGATATTTCCTCAATGAAAAATTTTAAACCGATTTTAAAATTTTAGTTCTTTAGCTGAAAAATTACATAGCGAAATAAAAAAAGTATTCGGGTTCAGGGATCAAAATACCCTATTGCCTGATGTATTTTGAGCCACTGAACACGAATCTGAAGTCCGTTTTGCTCTATCACGTTAGGAATTTTTCCTAACCTCAAAAAACTTAACTGATTTTTTTTATGTTTCGCACAAAAATTCGCTTCGGGTTCGAAATTTTGGAGGAGTCCAAAGGGTACAAAGTTTCTAATATTTCTTTTATGTTTATTGTTGAAAAACAAATTTTGCTTTTGACCGAATTCGTATTTAAAAAAAAATCATTTGTTTCATTCGGTATTACATTAATTCTACCAATAAAAATTTCGGCTACGTTAAAATTTGACCGTAGAAAAATTCGATCGATTTATTTATTTGGTTAAATGAATATCTGTAATGAAAAAAAACAAAAATTCGGCTAAATTAAAATGCTATCAAATTAAAATTCGGCAACATAAAAATTTTGCTCAATTAATAATTTCGGTTAAATGAAAAATTCGGTTAAATAACATAACAATGCCATTAAATGAAAATTCCTTAAAATTTAAATTTGAAAAAAAAAATGTTTTTAAATGAAAAATCTCTTTAATATAGTATATTTCGTTTTAATAAAACTCTAATACAAAAAATCTCATCGATTAAAACTATTCACAGGAAGAAGTCTTATAATAATCGAGGAGAGAAAATAAAGCTTTTCTATCTAGAATACAAATTTCTAGAACTCCTTTTGCCTTTATATATGGTACGAGGTCGAATCTTCCAACTAAAAGCATTCCTTTCAAAAGAATCATATCTTTTCATACAAACTATTCATCCACGAATTTTTACGAAATAATATACTTAAAAGAATAACTAGTACAAAATGAAAGATCATTCAAGTTTATTGTAGATAAAAGAAGAGAAAAAAAAATTGAGTAGAAATAGTTTTGTATTCGATTAAAGAGTATTAGTACTTTTTTTTCATAAAACAAAGAAAATTTGTTAAATTACAAATAAAGAAAATCATTTTATCAAATAAATATGATAATTTTTTTTGTCTACTAAAATTAAGTTTGTACACAATAAACGAATAAATAGGTAATCAAAATATTTACAAAAAATAAAATTTAGAGAAATTATTCAAATAAGAACTTAAATCACAATTTTTATGAAGACATTTTTAAAATGCTCTTTGAAGTTTAATTAAAAAGTGATAAAATTAGAAGCTCATTCTTAGAATGTTTCCGAGTGGCTTATTTGCATATATAAAGCAGAGAAAATGTAACAAAGATTCATAATTCGTTTTGGTGGTGCTTGAGTCATTTAAAATTGTGTCACGTTTTCGTTTTTCCTTTTTTTTTTTGTTCCGCATGAATAAATAATTCACGCGCGCACACTATTCACACGGAAAATATATATAATAATAAAATTCAGTGCTAATTTCTCATTTTTGTTGTACTAAAAAAAATCTTCAAAAATTTATAATATACTTCCCAAGTGCGAAATGCCAGGACTGACAATATGGCCCAACATTGTCCCAGTAATGTCTGCCGATATATGGCAAACGTTACTGGACCAGTACTGGCGATCAATTCGTCCCATTGCTGGGCCAATATTGGCACCGATTCTCGATAACTCTAATTTGCCATTATTGGGCCGAACTCTGTCCCATTACTGGGCCAATATTGGCGCTGCGTCTCAGATACTCCAATTTGCCATAATTGGGTCGAACTCCGTCCCATTATTGGGACAATATTGGCACCGTTTCTCAGTTATTCTAATTTGCCATTATTGGACCTTCTCTGTGCCATTACTGGGCCAATATTGGCAATGCGTCTCAGTTACTCCAATTTGCCATAATTAGGTCGAACTCTGTCCCATTATTGGGACAATATTGGCACCGTTTCTCGATTATTCTATTTTGACATTATTGGGCCTTCTCTGTCCCATTACTGGGCCAATATTGGCACTGCGTCTCAGTTACTCCAATTTTCCATAATTTGGCCGAACTCCGTCACACTACTGGGCCAATATTGGCACCAATACTTGGTAATTCTACTTTTTCATAATTGAGACGAACTCTGTCCCATTACTGGGTCATTATTGGCTTATTGACGGCTGAAATGTTGAATTTATTTTGACAAGTCATTTTTTCCAAAGTTGTAACGAATCTTGGCCCAGTAATGGCGCATTAACGGCTGAAATGTTCCTCAAATGCAGCTTATCAAAACATTTTTGTGTTGAGATTCCCATAGGGGCCGTCCTTAAATCACGTTACTTGAAAGGGGTGGTGGGGGGTTAGGAAAATCATCACAGTTGATCACTTGGGGGGGGGTAGGGGGTTGCCCATTTGAGCACGTGATTTTTAACTGCAATTTTTTTAAAAGCGGAATTGATTGGTATTATTCCTTGCAACCGCGCGCAGCGGCGATTTTTAAATCTACACCTACAATTGGTAATATGGGTTGAAAGTGATGTTACCGACGTCGGGTATTGTAAAAGTGGGTCTAACCTTGTGATTTGTGAACGGTTTATTCTCGAAATCAAATGTCAGAGATTCTGCAAATGTAAACAAAAATTGCCGGTGTGTGTATACTAAACGTACTTTTAATGTGAAAAAATATGAATGTTATAATTTATTTTATCTAAAGAGAGTTACTTATTAGAGTCAAAATGAGTTCCAATTTAGGAACTTTATATGAAGAGCTATTCAAAGAATATAAAATTATTAACTGCTATAAGTCAGCACAAAAGACTCAACAAGATTTTGTAGCTCTCTGGATCGAAGCAAAAAATAAATATAAGAAAAAATCGGAATTGTGCGAATATGCTCAAAATCTTTTAAAAGAATTTCGACAAAAAAGCAGGATTAAACAAGCGACAAATATCACGAATTTTTTTTCGACTGCTTCAAAATCAAAAGTATGTTATTATATTTTAATATATTATATATATATATGTATACTTGTCAAATTTATTACGTCAAATGATTAAATATTTTTTATTAGCATTTCGATAATATAAAGTATATTTTTTAATAATTTTAATAAATTAAAAAATAATTTTTTTTCAAGAATAAAGCGACCATCGATTTGACCAAAGATTCAGAAAATGCGTTAGAATCTAAATCCACAGCATCAACATTCCAAGAATCAGCGACCATCGATTTAAATAAAGATTCAGGAAATGCGTTAGAATCTAAATCCACAGCATCAGTTCCTAGTACTGAATTGTTGGAATCATCAGAAGAATCTAATAATTCCGATGGTGTGAAATCGTATTGTAAGAACTAAAACGAAAATTCTTCAGTTTAATTCAGATTAAAATTTAATTAATTAATTTAATTTAGAATTCTCATTTTCAATCAAAAATAAGTACAATAATATTTTTGATAACTATGATTTATATATATATTTTTTTTTATTTCTCTCCATGTACATCTCTTTGGATAATAACTATGATTTATATTAAAAAATATATTTGTCTATTGATATATTTTGTTCCTATAAAAGTATTTTTTATTTAAGACAGTAAAAAATAATTAAGTTAAGATAAGAAAGGAATAAGACCGTAATTAATTTTATTTTTCCAATGAATTATGATTTTTATCTAAAACTAAAATAATAAATTTTTGCATAAAAAATATAAATAATAAATATTTCTCGATTATTCTAAAAAGTACAATATTTTTTCTAATTTTTAATTTTAATTTTTGGTGATAAAATTTCAGTGTTGAAACGAAAGTATGCTACTCCTGCTCAAGATGAAATCAAAAATCGCATTACGAATTTAGAAAAAGAGGTAAATATTTTGTATCTTCGAAGGGATTCTATAAATGCTGATGGAAGCGAAAAACGTAAAATAAATGAGTTAAAAAAAGAAATTGAAAATTCTAAGAAAGCGTTAAATAATTTAGAGTTACATGTTAAGCAAGCCAAAAAGTATAGAGACACTGTAAGGGAAAACATAAAAGAATTTAAAAATAAGAAAAAGCCACCTGAAAACGCGGAAATTGACTTAACACCTGGCCGGCCTCGATTAGAAGAGAATCAACCTGATTTACTAAAAACCATTGCTGATATAGCTATGTTCGGCGCTTCAGCAGAAGAACGTCGCCGCTCTGAAATCGTTCGAACTTGCAAAACACTTGACGAGCTTCATGCTCTGTTACTGGAGCTTGGTTATAAAATATCGAGAAATGCACTGTACATTCGTTTATTGCCTAGAAGATATAACACGCTTGAGGGAAAAAGACATGTTCTTACTGTTCCAGTAAAATTAAGTCGTCCTGAAGCTGATCATCATAAGGCGCATCCAGACCAGTACTTCTGCATTGCTTCAATTCGGATTCTAGAAACAATTGCTTCGATTTTAGGACCCTACCAAGTCATCTTTATATCACAGGATGATAAGGCGCGAGTACCTATCGGAATTACCGCAGCTAGGAAGCAGGCCCCATTGTTAATGCATGTTGATTATAAAGTCTCTTTGCCGGATCACGATTTTGTCGTAGCTAATCAACATAAATTGATTTCAAGTGTATATGCCGGCTGTTCGATAAAAAAGAATGCAATGGGTAAGCCAGAAGCGGTTACATATTCTGGCCCTACCTTCATTGCTATTAGAAGTGGGAAGCATTCTACATCAAATGCATCTACCCATGCAGAAGATTTCAGAAGCCTCATTGAACTTGAATCTTTTAAGGAAATCGTTTACAACGAGTCAGGTGAAGTTAAACCTATCATTATGATTTCATCTGATGGAGGACCAGACGAAAATCCTCGTTTTCCAAAAGTTATTTCGAACGCAATAGAGCACTTTAAAAAAAACGATCTTGACGTTATAATCGTCTTTACTAATGCGCCGGGTAGGAGTGCATTTAATAGAGTGGAGAGAAGAATGGCCCCACTTAGCAAAGAATTAGCAGGGCTCGTTTTGCCCCATGACTCATGTGGAACTCATCTTGATCATAGTGGACGTACTGTCAATAAGGACCTGGAAAAGCAGAATTTCGGTAAAGCTGGAGAAATTTTATCTGAAATATGGAGCAATATGGTCATCGACAATTACAGTGTTGTAGCACAATATGTCGACCCAAACCCAAAAGCTGAGCAATTCGTACCACCTATTCCTTCACCAGAATGGTACACACAACATGTACGCGAAAGTCAGTACATGGTTCAGGTATGCATAACTATATTTATTTAGATTTATTTAATTTTTAAAATAAGAGTTTAATTTAGAATTCAGTTGGTTACATTATATGATACCAAATTATAATATCAACATTTAATTCAAAATAATTTATTGCAGTAAATTCGAAATTCAATTAAAGAAAATAAATAATTTTTTTCGAAAATAGGTTGTGAAGTGCAGTGATAACTCTTGCTGCAAAACAATGAGAAGCTCCTGGTTAACTGTTGTTCCAACACGATTCTTAAGTGCACCAATTCCAATTTATCAAACTCCAGAAGGTCCACATATTCCAAGTCCACAAGATCATGATGGAAAAACATTCGCAGAATTCAGTTTAATGAAAACTCTGCACATCAAACCCGATTTGGACAAACTACCATACGATTATTATTGCCCAAGTTTACAGTCGGACATATCAGCTAGAACGTGCAAAAAATGCGGTATATATTTTTGTTCGAAGAAGGCTGTCTTGAATCATGCAAAATTCCTTCACAGAAAAAAAAAAGAAATTGTTGAAAACAATTGTGATGAAATTGTTGAAGACAATTGTGATGAAATTGTTGAAGACAATTGTGATGAAACAGAAGCAGTTGAAGTGGAAGCTAGTCAATTAAAAGATACCGAAGAAGTAGCTCCTCTAATCAGTATTGAAGAAAGTCTTCGAAATCCCTGGATTGAGACTGATTAATTTTTCGAAAATTTTTAAGCAATTTAA